CCCCCCCCCCCCCCCCCCCCCCCCATTTTGTAAGATGGGAGTGAGTACAGATCCTTTGCTATCTGGGGCCAAAGTTGTTTGCTGCTGCAACATCACAGTTGCTCGACCATAAGGAGAAGCATTGCAGGACCCCAACTACTGTGCTCCAAGTCGTGAAGCCTCTCTCAGACCTGAAAGCTGACCTGCACACATCCCCAAAAGCAAATGAACATATTCCTGCTCCTAATACCTCTTCACACATTTTGTGTCAATCACTTTAAAATGCAAATACAGAGTGTTTGGTGCCTTTGGCCATATGCAAAACCAGACTGTACTGAGATTTTATAACTCTTCAGGCAAAGCCTTAACTATAGAAAACACAGGTGTTACAAGAAGCTAAGCCACAGAGGTGTGTTTGTGAGAAGCTTAGCAAACAGATAAGAAGAAATTAACTAGATGCCCGTGACATTCCCATGAAAAAACTACTGCTCAAGAGGGAGAAAAATGGGAGAAAAATTTGTCCCTTTGGGGAGAAAGCTTACTGTTACAGTTTACTCTCCTAATTCCAACAGAAGAGAACTTTGCATCACAGCTCAAGTTCTAACTATATAGCTGACATGCATCTGTCTTTATTACAGAAGGCATTTAAATTAATTATCACTTGATCTAACTGATCTGATTAATATTAGATGTGAATTCTTTGGCAGAGACAAAAATAAAATGTAGTTCTCCTCTGTGGCACTTGACTATCACAATCATTTTTGCTTTCTACACTCCCATGCTCCAGTCACTAAAGATCCTAGTTTCTGAAATAAAGTTGATAAAATCCAACTAAGAATAGGACTGCTTAACTCCTGAGTCCAGCACTAGAGTGTAATAAAAAGTAAACAGCACATCATCATGAACTTAAATGCTTTATCGTAATATGTAGGCATAAAGGGACTGAAGTAGGATTGCCTTGATCCTCTTTGTTTTGGCATTTCCTATATTCTGATTGCTTTAGAATTTGAGACTTCAGTGAGATTTTAATGGAAATTCTGTGCGGGCTTAATTTTTCCCTCTGATACAGAATAGTGTACTGGGGAAGGTGACTGGTCTTTGGAAAGGAAAAGTAGTCTAGTTGAGTTTGCTACTAACAGAGTAACAACTTTTCCTTTCACACTTCACGCAGTTGGAGGAAACTCATACCCCATCTACATCCAAGGAAGCACAACAACTACCAAAATGACAGGAAGAAAAACAATAAAACAAGAAATCCACAGAAGAAAACGTCCAAATTCCTAGATGTAAGCTATACCTACCTCTCTTGCATAAACATACCAAAAAATAGTTTCTGTTCAATTAAAAAAGAAGTAACAAAGCAGCTATTATAAGCTGTAACTCATCATAAAGTTTTAAGAAACGATTTGACATTGGAGAAAAATCCCTCTGAGGAGACCTATTGCTACTACTACTTTCTTACTGCTTTCTCAACACAATAGTTTAATTCCCAAGAAATTTTAAAAATATTTCTCATAGTGACTAGAAAAATAGGATACAATAATGTGTAGATCTGATGGATTCCGCTGACGTGTCTTTTCCAGTTGAGATAATTGCTTGGCTTCTCGGTTCTTTGCTGTTAAAGTTGCTTTAAGGTCATCCTGGAAATAAAAATGTTTTAGACATATTTAAAATGAAACTAGGGTAATACAAAATACACTTCCCTTCATACATGCATTGCCTAGAAAACAGACAAAATTTCTGCTTTAAACAAAACCAGATTTTATAGATCTTATCCTGTTAATTGATCCTCTGAAAGAGAAGTCAGTGGGAACCAAGGGACTATTGCACAATCCCAACCTTGCACAGCTCCCTATAGCATGCACTGCAATTTAAAATGTGGGGAAGAAAAATATATTCACAGCTTTTCATGACAAGTATAGCAGATGGTCAAAAGCTGAGATCCCCAAAGCAGTAAGAAGGCAGGCCCATTCCTGACTTAGAAACAGAATAAAGGTGGCATTTAGAAATAAAAAGTGGCATCAAATATATCAGTAAGAAAAACAATAAAGCAGGAAGCAGCCAGTACCAGTCAGAAGTTATGAAGAAAACATAACTGCTGTCACCTGTCCAGAGGACAGCAGAGCTGGTAAAGGGTCTGGAGCACAAGTCTGATGAGAAGCGGCTGAGGGATCTGGGATCGGGGTGTGTTCAGGTTAGAAAAAAGGAGGCTCGGGGGGAACCTTATCACTCTCTACAACTCCCTGAAAGGAGGTTGTAGCCAGGTTGGGGGTTGTAGCCAGGCAGCGAGTGATAGGATGAGAGGATACCTGTCCTGTACCAGGAGAGGTTTAGATTAAATAATAGAAAAAATTTTTTCACTGAAGAGGTGGAAATAGAGTCATTGGAATAGGCTATCCAGGGAAATGGTACAATCACCATTCCTGGAAGTGTTCACAAAAGATGTGGATAGAGCACCTGGGGACATGGTTCAGCGGTGAACATGGTGGTGCTGGGCTGAGTTGGATGATCTTAGAGGTCTTTTTCAACCTTAACAACTCCATAATTCTGTGCTACACAGATTTCAAGGTACCATATAAAATCTATGGCTGAAAGGGTTGAACTGCGTATTTTTATTTATGCAGTTAGTAAGGTGTTTAAAACCATTTGAAACAAAACTCATCCTACTAATGATGTAGCTGGAGAAGATGAAACTTACTGACTTAGAAAAGGCAGAAACTGCTGATAAATATTTTTGCTCCTCATTTCCAAAGGAGAAGTAGGATGTACTTCTAGGAAGACCTGTGACAATTTAAGCATCTTTACCTACCAGTCTCGAATTTTTGTTCATGCTATAAAACTGTGTTTTGCAGAGTGTTTGGCATTCATGGGATCTAAGATTATCAGTCAGATATTTATCACTTCCCTGACCCCGGTATCAGAAATAACATACACTTTGATGGCTTCAGTTTAAAGGAGCAGTAGTTTAGAACAAGCAGAAATACAACCAGAAGTCTTAACAAAATCTGAGCCAGAAGTTGGGTATGCATTTCAAACCATTCTTTTCTCTAAAAACACAAGTTCTCATTTATCTACTACTTCAGAATGGAGGGAATTAGGGCTATTAGAAACTATTGTATTGGGAAGTTGTCTGTGCTCCTTCCTTAGATTTCAGAATTTTAATATGCTTGTGTGTCTCCTTTACCCAGAAGGATATGCAACTAAGGATGTGTCTTTCAGCAGGTTTTGTAACCCTGTGACCAGATCACTTGTCAGTGACACGCACAAGTGTGCCAAGTTTCACAGTGCTGTGTTCCTTCAATAATGAGTCTGTACATGAGGTCAGGGTCAAAAAATGCAGTTTCCTTCTTGTTTCTGTCTTTACTGTCTGTCTGTATGTCCTTGTTTATGACTCATTTTGCTTCCCCTTTAGGGGGATAAAGCTGGTTTCTGATAATAAAAACTATTGCATCTTTAGCCCATCAAAACTAATTTTACTGCTGTTCTTTCAGAAGGGAATTTACACCACCTTTAAAGTCATCCAAAACACTGCTGGAAAGGGCTTTTCCTTTTATCAAAACCATGAAGCTACAAGAAAAGCAATAATAGAATTTTTTTTATTGTTTTATTGGTTTGAGTTTTAAATTTTAAAGGTAGAGAAAGAGAAGAATTATTTATTTTTGGAACAGAACAGAACAGATTTTTATCTAATGTTCACAGCTGCATGTTTAGTGTCATTTAATGACTAAGTCCCGTTAACAGCACTGACTTCTAGGCCCATCTAAAACAGTCCATCAGATTTCAAGCTGTGGCTAAAAGGGTTCTGACTTTCATGCAGAGTGTACTTGAGGATGCAAAGTTCTAGAGTTGTTATCAAATTCAGTATGTTCTTTCTAGCGTGTCGTGACTTTGGAAATACTTACAGTTCCCTCCTCTACCTCTGTTTTCTGTAGCATCAGCCACCATGAAACATACTTCTCTACTAACCAATGCCTGATAAAGAATTAGTGCTACTGTGGCTATAGTGGTGAAGCTATACACAAGTTTTGGATGTACAAAGGTAGGGCACAGTTACGTGCATATTTTGTCTAATATGTTGAAAAACTGAAAAGGGTGCAGAAAAAAAACCTGTAAAAATATTAAAAAGCTGGGGAAAATGTGATTATGGTGAAAGAATCAAAGTGTACATTATTACCTAACAGAAAAAAAAAATGAAAGACTGGTTTTACTAGCATCTAAATACCTTCATCCAGAAAAAACCAGAGCATTACAGAGCTTTCATCTCAGTGGAACATATAACAAGAACCAGAGATTAGGAGAAGTCTTTCATTTAAAACAATACACCACAAACTCACCACCTACTACCACAAACAGTCCTACATTCCCCTTCAGTGTCTTCAGACCAAGCTTTGACATATTTTTGGAAAATATGCTTTAATTACACTCAAGGAGAAATGGAATGGAATAGGGAACAAGTCAAAGGACAGGTAGAGAGAACAGAAAATTATTCAGAGTCCCTCTGGCTTTTAACTATGAATTCAAGTCACATGTAAGAACACTGGTCGCCCATCTAATTTCAAGGCATAGTGAAGTACAGCTACAGTCTGTCCACCAGACAGTGAGCTGACAGAGCCTCATCACTGTACTGTTACCTGCTTCAGTCACTGAAGTTATTAAAGCAAACCAATCCTTTCTTCCACACGTGGATCACCTTGGTTTTATGATGTCCTGTTTTATATGAAGAAAAGGAGCCAGGAACAGAGTTGCCAAAAAGCAGAAAAGTGAAGATTGATATACAGAACAATGAAACAGAAAGAAATCCTAAAATCCTACATTTAAGGTACATTACAGAACATTATATTAATGTCCACTGAAGCTATTTGGCAAATAGTGAATGAAACAATTTTATTGCATTAGCAGTTAAAGGACAACACTACTCTCATTATCTGAGCCTCTTTAAAGCATTTAGTAGCACAAGACATGGATGTCTTATGCCACAGAAATAGCAACAGTCCTTTTTAGATAAAGCACAGAAGTACTCTTGTGTACATCCTGGAACAGTTCCAATAAGTAGCAGTGAGAACATTCCCTTTATAGAAAGTGCCATAATGACATGTTCTAACAGGTTTTACTTAGCTAAGGTAGTTACAGGTAAAGCAGTCCTACACCTTGTGCTAAATTTAAGAGTCACAAAACTTTCTTTTTCACTAAAGATGTCCCAGTGTTTAGAGATGATAACTGAAGACCAGACAGTTGAAATTTTAACCACAGTTTATCGTTAATGTGCAATGGGGAAAAAATAACCATTTAATGGCCTACATCTTTAGCAAAATCTTAGTTCAAAGGTATGTTGACAAAAATAGTTAATCCCACCTACAGTTTAGGAATACTCTTGTACTCCTCACTGTAGCTGAAATAAACATTATGCAATGCTTTCTGGCATTCTGAAGGCAAAGACAACAGGAAATGCCACTCAGTGTTGCAAGGGATGACCTGGCTTCAGTTGCTTCTGTCCTCAGCATTACTGGCTATCAGTGGCAATGCACCTCAAGAGACAGTCCCTTCAATGCTTTGCAAACCCCAGGCACTGCTGTAGTGCTCTGTGTCTCCTCAGCAACCATACTGCCACAAACACATGAAGCTTGTCTTCCACCCTCAACATTTATATCCCATGGAATACTCAGTTCTAGATCTCACAAACTGGGTTTTATAATGACTATCAGGATACCAGATTCTAGCCTCTATAGTCTATAACTCTGCTAAGGACCACCACGTGTAATCCCACTCAAGTGCAGGATGCATTTCCTTCACAATTGTCTCTCCAATCTCCAAGTGAGGTAGCTGTGCGGTAAGTTCCACACACTGTACTCGGTTCTTCACCATATGGAAAAGATACAGAACAAAAACATATGAAAAATGCTAGTTTGAGATGCAATGCCACAACATACTCAAATTAACCATGATGAACACACTGTAAGATTTTAGTATGTAAAATATCATCAAAGAATAATAATTTAATATTTTGATTTATATAGACTATGATACAGATATACATTAATTACAGATTTGAGTTTACAGGACTAAGGTATTTTCTGTGTAATACACAAGTATTACAAAGATCTGCTTTTGTCCTATAAACTAGTATCTGCTTACTGCAAGTTACTTGCTCAAGCTTATCCCTCCTGGAGGAAAGAAACTTTCAGATATTTTAAGGGAACATTTCAAACCCCTATAAATACTGTTTCTAAAATACAGTGAATGAAGAGACCTCAGATTTTTGTGTATCTTCAAGTCATCATGATGACTTAACAGGACAGAGAGGGATTTAGGCCACTACCTATATATCAGTTTTAAATGTGTCTTCTAAATTATGAACTCTAATGTAGAATGGAATTCTGAGTTAGAAAAGCTGCTAAAGGCAGCACATTGATGACTAAGAGGCAAAGCATTACATATAATTCACCTTTTGGAAATCTGAATAATAGTGGTAATAATCATAATAATAAAACAAACCCCTAACAATAATAAATGACACTATCCAATAAGTTTCACATTATCCACAATGCCTTTTTTTTTCAGCATTTGCTTGTGCTCAAAAAGCCTGAATATCCTTGTCTTCACACTAAAGCTTCTTTCTCCAACATATATACAGCTTCAATTTAGATGTATTACTACATAATTAAGTTAGACTGATTATTGCAATATGAAATATCAGAACCATTTGCCCCCTAAAGCAGAAGTTTTCAACCGAGCGGCCAGAATACTGAAATGTACCTTGTGAGAGAACAGATGCTTAACCTACCCTTTTAAGTTTCACTATGGTCCCGTAACATTTCAGAGGTTCAACAACCTTGGCTTCAAGCCTGTCGACCTACAAAAGAAATCACAAGGCCACTAGAATCATCCATGTCTATGGTGTGTAGAAACAGGAAACAATTAATAGTGACACATCTTATTAGGAATTAGTCCATATATGCTGAAAAAATAGTGGGATAGTTTTAAAAATATTGTAAAAACTATAGTCAAGTACATTAGCCAATAAGCAATTTGTATTTTGAGGAGATCAAGCTGATTTCTAGTGGAATTACTTTTTTCTTAATTAGAAATACATCAGGATAAATGAAACACTGAGATTCCAACAACTGAGTACTAAATACATCAAACACTGCATCTTGGAGATGTGTAACTTTCTATCTAAAGATCAGTATTTTGCTCTACACTGACAGATTATGGATTAAGCCATCTTTGCTAACAAATATATTGTACAAAATGTAACACTTCTTGCATCGTTGGTGCTGAATGCACTAAAAATACCAATAACAGGGTGTGTAAAAGGCACGAATGCTCTCACAAGCAAGTGCATCTGAATTTCAGTTCTCCTACTTAGAAAAACAGCTACATATGGTCAGACAGGCAATAGGATAAGACCTGCTCATCAAACCTGACAACACTGTCCAAGCAGCACCAGCATAAGCTGCCAATGACTTATGGACCAGTGAGTCATCTGGCCCACTGCTCAGCCAGATGGGCCAGATTAGGACAAGGTGCGTACCTCTATTAGGAATGTACAGTTCCCTCTAAACTGGGCTAAAATTTATGCCAACTGAGCAAACGTTTTTCCTTTATACACTCTACCAGTGCACTGTCAAACAATTTCACTTGAACTGCCAATAAAATACAAAGGATTAGGGCAGTAAGGCTCTGAATGAAGTGCATGTTACTTCGGTCTCTTTTTTGAATTATAGTGGGTCTTAGCTGTTCAAAACTATAAATGGTAATTTTCTACACTCTACTGAAAGTATAGATACATACTCCAAAAACTAGTTTGAGTCTATGTGAATGAATTAATTTTGTCTTAAATCGCAGTATTTGGAATTCTGCATCACACGTTACAGTTTGACTGGCCCTGCAGATAGATGTGTAAGTGGCATAAACACCTTCCTTTACACTCTCACTCATCTAGCAGACATGTGACTATATAGTCACACATTGTCCAAATCAAGTTTGTACTTTGAGTGTTAAACTACAAACTTAAGAAATTTGCAGTGGCCCCTGACAGCATCTCAGTGGGGCTACCAGTGCCCATTCTCTTCCATACTATTTCTGATAAGACTCAACAAAAGGAAAATGACTGATTTTACCTCAGCTGCTGCCAGACAACTCAAGTCACACAAATAAAAGAACACTTTTTTAACCATAAATCACAATCCAAAGTCTAAGACCATAAAAAACTTGCTCTGTCTCAAATACTTTGAGTGCTCGTAGGGATAGTTTTGCTGACTTCAACAGGACTAATTGCAGGCAGTTTTCATTAGTTGTTAGGGGGGTAAATTATGAATACTTTGGCAGCCTACCCTGCTCAGACACTAATACATTTAGAAATGTTTTCTCCTATATTTTCTTGTGATTGCAGAGTATATATTTCCCCTTTTAGTCAAAGAGAAGTAACTGAAAAGTTCAGATGGCAAACACAACATGTACAGCTTTAATTCTGTACCTCTGCCTGGCGATAATCCTGAAGTCTGGAAAATTCATCTGCAAAGTTTTTCAGTCCAACTTTTAAGTTTGGTGTCTCTGTGGCTGCATATGCATATATTTCATTTACTAGAAGATCTGCTTTGTCTCGTAGTCTGGCAGTTTTACGTACATATCCAGCAAATATTTGGCACAATTCACCAAAATGTTTTTCCACATTTGAAACAGCATCTTGTATTTGTCGAGTCTGATTGTCCCTGGATACCAAAGAAAAATAAGTGAAAAATAAGAAGGGCACAAATCAGTGCAAAACAGAAATTTATTTTTAAAAAGAATGTTCTAAAAGTCTGATGTACTATGTGCTTATTTCTGAAGAAATAACAAATGAACTACAAAAAAAAGCAAGATTTACACTTAAAGATCCAAGAGAGGAAACCCCAAATCACAAAAATCTGCTTAGAAGTTTTCTGACTGTATTTAAGCAAAAGCTCACTATTACTATTGGTATTATTACTAACACAGTGGTAACACCTGAAGTATCAATCGAGACCTTCCCAAGACCACTGCTTCCTGCACGAGTCTGCAAGCTAAACTGGCAAGTCAATGGCTGGAGAAATTAGGCAGCAGAGGACAAATCTGGAGAAATTAGGCAGCAGAGGTATTAAATGGTTTTTAAATCATGAACAGGCACCAATCTGCTCCTGAGCAGCAGCACAAAGGATAAATATTGCTGAGAATTAAAGAAGAAAAGTGAATGTACACAAGTACAGAGGTGAACACTCTGTACCACTGAAAGAACATTCATTACACTAATAGATTACTTTCTTTTAAATTACATAAATCTAATTAATTTATCTGATCCAAATGCCTGTGTGTTTCATTATTAATGATCTAGATAAGTCATTCCAATAATTCATGTATTTCACTTTGTATTTTGCTTTCATATTCCTATATCATTTGATGTTTGTGTGAATTCATGCCAGTTTTTGTTGACAGACTGAATCAGCTACAAGACAATTTAGCTAACAGTATCTTCCACATACTGGGTCCTAAGAAGTCTCCACAGTCTAAAACAAGACTATTCATGTGAAGTGCTTGAATTCTCAGCAAGAGAATTCACTCATACCACTATCTTGGCAAGGGGCAGAAACAAAAACTTCCTTCATATCCTTAAGCTACTCCAATATTGCTGACCAATATTTAAATACTGACTTCCTATCGGGACACATGAAGATCAGAAAAATTGGAAGAAACGTAGTATTTTGAGAATGAATAATGCAGTCAATTCAAGCAAGGAACACTTTTACTTCAGGAAAAGTATGTCAGGCCAAAGTTACACTATGAGTAAAATCCCAGTTGCATTGCTTCATGGCAAGCAGTCTAGAGGACTGTTAAAAAGAGATTTCATTAAAGGAAAAAAAAAAATCCTAGTAAGTTATTCAGTCCTCCAGAACATGCTGGAGCACAGAACCATGTGAATAGTGAAGGTTTCACACAGTGAGTGGGAAAGTAAGAATTTCATGAAGTACTAACAAAGTTGGTTTTCAAAATTAATACCACCTGATAAGATCTTCAGTTAAAGGTACATCCTATTTTCTTGGAAGGTCTTCATGTCAGAAAGTTCCCCTCCCAAGGGGAAGCCTTAAGCACGTTTCCTCACCCTCTTTACAATTCAGATCTCACAAGACTCCCATGCAACTAGTATTTAATTTGCAGACATGAAACACTGCATTTATATATATGGGGCTGTAAAAATTTTTATTCCCCCGTCATTATTCATGATCGCTTAGAGCTGGCCACAAAATTATCTGCGAGAGGCCCAGATAAATATCGGCACATCTTTACTTCATCTCTGCAAAGCACATTAAGCCTAGAAAAGTTTTGCGGCCTTTACCAGAGGAAGGCAGAGGCGGCCCCACCGCACGGGGTGGGAAGATGCGCTAAGGGGGACTGGGCCCGCATCGGCCTCCGACCGCCGCGCCATCCCCCGGTGCCCTGCCCGCGGCCAGGCCTCCTCCCCCGCAACACCCTGGGCTCCCTCGGGCCTCCCGCCCCGTACCTGGCGTCCAGCCCGCGGCCCAGCAGCATCATAATGGCGGTGGCGGTGGAAGCGGCGGCGGCGGCGGCCCGGCGGGAAGCAGGGAAGGAGGGAAGGAGGCGGCGCTCGGCGTGCGCTCTGTTTCCATGGACACCGCCCGCCGCCTGCGGGACGGGCTGCGGCAGCTCCGCCCCCGGGAGGCGCCGTGAGGGAAGTCACGGGAGCGGGGAGTCCGTTAGGTTGGAAAAGACGTCTGAGATCGTGGAGTCCAACCTGTGGCCGAGCGCTACCATGTCAGCTAGACCATGGCCCTAGGTGCCACGTCCAGGCTTTCCGTAAACACCTCCAGAGACGGCGACTCCACCACTTCCCTGGGCAGCCCATTCCAATGCCTAATCGCCTTTTCTGTAAGAAGTTCGTCCTAATGTCTAACCTAAACATCCCCTGGCACAGCTTAAGACCGTTTCCTCTCATCCTGTCACTCGTTGCCTGGGAGAAGAGACCGACCTCCACCCCGCTACACCCTCCCTTCAGGTAATTGTACAGAGCACCAAGGCTGACAGAGTTCAAGAAGCTTTTGGATGATACTCTCAGGCACATGGTGTGACTCTTGGGAATGATCCTGTGCAGAGCTAAGGTTTGGACTCGATAATCCATGTGGGTCCCAACTAAGGATATTCTGTGATTCTGTGATCCCTGGGGGAAACAACTAGAACAACTAGTGACCGGAGTTGTCCAGGTGCTCCAGGTGACTCTCAGGGTGTGCAGAGCCCCACACCTGAGCCTGACCCAAGGGCAGGGACTGAGTCTGTGCCAGGACAAGTGCAGCACCAAGGCCTGGACTGGTGCAGGAGCAGAAAGCCAGAAGGCTCAAGCCTGTCTCAAAAAAAAAAAAAAAAAAAGAAGTCTAGCCATGGCAAGTGACAAGCAGTACCAGGGGATGTGGCCCACAGGTCTTTCAACTGAGGAAGAGCCACTGAGGTTGGGCAGCCATGGGAAAGGTCTTTAAAAAAAAAAAAAAAGAAAAAACAAAATTCAAAACCTTAAAAAAACCCCCCAACCCCCTCTCTGTAGAGGTAATGTATTGGGAATGTGACTTTGTGACTGTGTGGCATAAGCCTGTGTCAGAGTCCCTGCAGGTGCTGTGTGAGACTAACACAGAAAAGGCTTTTAAAGGGGGAAGGAGAGAATTGTGCTGTGTTCAACACAAACCCACCCGAAATTACAGCAGTCCATGAGAGCTAAGGACTTGGACAACTGTTAGCACGCTGTCACCGAGGTACAAGACGGCAGGTAACAAAGGTAACAAAGTCAAACTTTAATTCACAACTAAGTACAATGGCCAAAACTAGTGAACAATATGGGTAATCATAGAATCATAGAATTAGATGGGTTGGAAAGGGCCTCTAAGATCATCAAGTCCAACCCTTGATCCACTACCACCACAGTTGCTAGACCATGGCACTAAGTGCCACGTCCAGCCTCATCTTAAAAACCTCCAGGGACAGAGAATCCACCACTTCCATGGGCAGACCATTCCAATGGCTGATTACCCTCTCTGTAAAGAATTTCTTCCTAATATCTAACCTAAACCTCCCCTGGCACAGCTTAAGACCATGCCCTCTTGTCCTACTGCTGATTGCTTGGGAGAAGAGACCAACCCCCATCTGGCTACAACCTCCTTTCAGGGAGTTGGAGAGAGTGATGAGGTCTCCCCTGAGCCTTCTCTTCTCCACGCTAAACAACCCCAGCTCCCTCAGCCTCTCCTCATAGGACTTGTGATCAAGTCCCTTCACCAGCCTTGTTGCCCTTCTCTGGACCTGCTCCAGCACCTCAATATCCTTCCTGAACTGAGGGGCCCAGAACTGGACACAGTACTCCAGGTGTGGCCTCACCAGCGCTGGGTACAGGGGCAGAATCACTTCCTTGGTCCTGTTGACCACACTGTTCCTGATCCAGGCCAGGATGCCATTGGCCTTCTTGGCCACCTGGGCACACTGCTGGCTCATGTTCAGCCTCCTGTCAATCCAAACTCCTAGGTCCCTCTCTGCCTGGCTGCTCTCCAGCCACTCTGTGCCCAGTCTGTAGCACTGTGTGGGGTTGTTGTGGCCAAAGTGCAGGACCCAGCACTTGGCCTTGTTGAACCTCATCCCGTTGGAATCAGCCCAACTCTCCAGTCTGTCCAGGTCCCTCGGCAGAGCCCTCCTGCCTTCCAGCAGGTCGACACTCCCTCTCAACTTGGTGTCGTCTGTGAATTTGCTGATGATGGACTCAACCCCCTCATCTAAATCATCAGTAAAGATATTAAACAGAACTGGGCCCAACACTGATCCCTGGGGGATGCTACAATGGCATCTGTCAGGTTACAGGTTTGGTATACCTGTCAGGATTATTTTACTACACAAAGTGTGCACACACACACAATGCACATGAAGCTTCTCACTCAAACGGTACCCAAAAGATCCAAGGAATGAAGGATCACTCAGGTATATCTAGTGGGAAAATAGTTACTCACCCAGAAGAGAGGGGTAAGGCAGTCAGCCCTTTTAAGTCTTTTTGGGCTGGTTTCCCAGCCCTTAGAGGAGGGCTTCTCCTCACAGACCCACTGTTCCAAGGAAAATCACACCCAGGTGGTGTTTGGCAGGGCCCCCACGGATAACCTGGTCGGGTCAGGGCCCCTGGTCATACCTCGTCATGGGCCAGAAATATTTCTGGGCCAAGGCCCCCACTGGCTGAGGACCCTGTTGACCAAAACATTCTGTTCTCATTCCCACCATGGAGGGGTCTGTGAAAATGAGGGCACAAAAGGTTGGTCATCTCCACGTGTCAGCTGGGGGAGAAAGTGGGTGCTACTACCACACATGCATGAGAAAATCTATGGCTTACCTAAGCATATGACTAGAAACTGATTTAGTTAAGATTTGGTTTTAAACTTTTTATCATATTTTTCTACTGAAAGTAGATTATTTAGGTCACTTAAACCAAAGGTTTAACTCACATAAAGCAAAATACTCTTCAAATAATAATGACCTATTTAATGGTTTGCACCAACTTAAGCTAAAACAAAATGTTGTCATTTTGCCTTAGGCAAGTTTGTGAAATCAATGGTAAAACTCACCCCAAAGGTGTGCAGCCCTTATGGACTTGGCAGACTAATACATCTAACTCCAAAATATCTTTCAGAGGATGCAAGGGTGAGACATCAAGCCAGCTGAAGGTCTTAATTTCTCTCAATTGCAGACTTGAAATGAGAGGCTACAATGTTTATTGTTAACCATTTTTTAATAATTTAATAAATCAGTTAAATGACGTAGCAAATAATGATGTCACTATTATTAATGTGCAATCCTGTAATTCCCCCCACTGTAGCAAGATCTGAGTTTATTACTCTTAGGTCTTACTCATTACACACAACTACCACTGAATTACAACTCTATCACTCATCTCTCTACCACATCTCATTGCTTGTTATCAGGGTGCAGTACAATATGTGTCTGGATGGTTTTTTTAGGTGAGATTTTTTTCCCTTCAGAGATATCTCCCAAATTCCCCTTCAGTTATGTAGTTCCTACTGTCTGCACATTGTTTACCCTTCACACTTTCTGAGACATACCATTCAATTTTAGTCTTTTCTTTACTTTGTTCCAATTAAGTCTAAGCACTTTACCCTATAGGTAAACAGTTGACATACCAGAGCAAGGCTTATCCTGTTAAATATAGTTGTTGGGGCTTTTTTTCCCCACTGTTTTTGTACTCACATAGCATCCTGCTCTTAGGTGTTTCATTACAAATCATTGTCCTTGACATGTTCTTTGGACAATCTCTTGGTCTCCTGAAGTGGTCTTATCTCTTCACAGGGACCTGTACTCCAGCAGGACCTCTCACTCACAAGTTTTAAGAGTTTTGAAAGTTGAAAATATCTATTCTGCTACTTAGAGCATGTTTAGACTTGGTCACCCAGCAAAACAAGTTCCAGAATAGCTAGAAATTCTTAATAAACAGTAGAATGGTGTTGTATGAGGTGCTATACAAACTTGTAAGAAGTACAGGGTTATTGGCTTCAAATTATGGGCCAATGAGAGACAGACTGACACTTAATGAGAAGCTGAAAGACTGAAAATAAAGAAAAGTTACTTGTGATTGAAATCAAGTAAGTAGTTGTTATTGGTACAAGACACAAAAGAGGAATCACAACTCGTATTCAGTTACTGAAAACTAAATCTGCTTCAGTCCTGAAGTATAGTACATGGCATAGACATTAAAAATCTTATTTTGTATATGCTGATATCAACATGGTTTGATTTAATAACTCTTCATATAATGCTATAGATAGTCCTGGAATATGTGGCCCACGAGCTCCAGCTGCACATAGAAAGTTGAAAATAATGTCATGAGGGCCTGTTGAAATATTGAGTCATCAGAAAGTGTAAAAGAGCACAAGCTGCATAAATCATGGAGTGGAAAAATATTTTTGTACTGTGATTTAGAAATAATTATGGAGAATTTTGTTGAAAGTAATGCCAAATTTCCTGCTCATTACCTCTAAGTAAGTTTCCAGAATAACATACTAAAGATGATGACATCTTATAACAAATTCCGAAAATAAGAAAGCTCTGAAATATCCAATTGACAGTGTTTTCCAATATTCATCCAGAGGATAAGCAACAGAGTCCTGCTGATTTAAATGAACACATGGAAATTCTCTGTACTGGTATATTGAACAACAGTATGTAACTCCAGCAGTTTTCAACAGTGTTGAAGAATTGCCTGTCAATGCTAAATAGAAAAAACACAGTATGCATGAGTCTGTGGAAACTTCAAGAACACTAGTTGGAATAGAATTTCTTCTGTAATATTTAGGGAATGCTTTAGCCATTGGTAAGGTAAAGCCATTTTTCTGGGTTGGAATTTCACATTTCATCAATGAGTGTGTCCTAGATATATGTAAAATATCAACAGAATATTCAGTCAACTTTATTTAAGTTAACTGATGTTAATTTATATGGTACAGTAGTTACAAAGTGATCCATACAGGTCCAGAGATTCATCTGTGCACTGCAGTTTACGTGATTAAGATTAGGTCTCTGTATGTAGTTGATGAGCTTCCTATATATTCATGTGACTACTTCTCTCCTCATAGTGTGCTTTGTGACTTTAGAATATTTTTTGCA